CGCACGCACGCGCACACACACACACACACACACATACATACATACACACATATTATTATATACACACACACACATACACACACAATCGGGAGAAAAATAAAACAAAGAAAAAGTGGGAAATATAACAACAATTAAAATGTATCGATAAGACACTTATGTGTGATAGGGAGAGATTATATTTTCACTCACCACACCCACTAAATACAAAGAGATACATGTATGTGATACTGTGACAAGTAAAATATTATAGACTACAAATTTTGCTCCCTCTCCGCGTCTCGGAAACATCCAAGCGTTCATTCATGCAAGGGAGGAAGGAAGAGGCCTGATTGATCGCGTTTTGCCCCGCGCTAGAATATTGATTTTTGCTAGCTCGGTGCGGGCTTCCCTTCTGCTCAGAGTCAGGGTAAAGGGTTTTTGGAGGCGGAGGGAGGATGATGTATTATGTTGGGGTGGGGTGAGGTAGGACGGGAAGGGTGGGGAAAAGTGGGGAGGGGTGGCGGGGTAGTGAGCCGTGAGCTGAAATTCCACTCACACACGCCAGCTTATAGCCAGTGCTTGCTTTGCTGCGCAGATGGGCCGTTATAGAGGTCACATTCTTGCTTTCTTTCTTTGAACCGCGAGGCTATTTTTATCCTGAGAAATGACACTACTCAAAGACTCGATCTCTGGGAGACACATGATACATACAGGGACACCTGAAGGTCTAGGCCTAGGCTAACGGAGAAATGTTATCCCATTTTTCACAAAAGGTAATTACTTTCTGTCGACCCCGTCATGCGAGGTAGCTGTAGGTGTCACCCCGATGTTTAGAGAGGTAAATTACAAACAAACAAACAAACAAACAACGGGTGGTGGCCGGTGGCTTTGTGGAATGTGCATAGAATGCAGTCTATAGCTGGCGCTGGCTCATTATAGTGCAGTGCACCGCTTATGAGAAGCTAGCAGTTCGTCGTGGGGGCAGAGAGAGAGAGAATGAAAGAGAGAGAGAGAGAGAGAGAAGACAGCGTGTGTGTATGTGTGTCTGTGTGTGTGTGTGTGTGTGTGTGTC